GGGCCACAGGGAAATTGAAAATTTCTCTCTGTCGCCCGTTGCGTATTTTCTAGGTATACAATCTTCTTTTCTTTTTTTTTGTTGGTAAGAGAGTCGAGAGTCCTCGCACTCATAATGGAATTTGCTGGCCAAACGAACAACAACTGACACTTTTGCCTAATGCTAATGCAGTTATAATGAGCTCTAAGCCAATTGGATTGGATATCCCTGTCTCTGATTTGGGTTGAGGCAAAGTCGGAGTCAAAGTCGTAGCCGAAGTCAAAGTCCGTGAGGCCCTTCGTTTGGACATTTGCATAATTAAAATTGATGTTCATGCCGTACTACTAGCAGCTCTACTTCATCCCCCTCGACTTGTTGTCCATTGTTTATTTATAATCCCAGCAACTAGTTCGCTGATTGAGTTGCCCAAGTTGAGGAGCGCATAAATTTGCATTATAGATCGACACACAGGAATGACTGAGGAAGTACACTAATATAAAAATATATATAGTAAATCAGGAGAGTCATTCTTGCCTACTAAAATTCGTTAATTAATTAACATATTAAATTCTATCAAGGAAAGAGGTTTTAAGCTGAGATTCTACTACAAAGACTCCTAATTTATAGAAATTCCATACTCTTTAAGCATTAATGTAGCATTAGGGTTATTATTCTTACTTTAAACAAATACCACACTTTCTTAGTTACCACTTTACATTAATGAAAAATCTTAAAAGTTGAGATAACACTCAAAGACATTTAATAGAAATTATTTCCATGATCTTAAGACATTGTTCCAATGACTTTAAGATGTAGTTTGATTTTTAATTAATTTAATAGTTATAGTAAGAATCTATTAGTAAAATTCAAACCCATTTTTGTCTGTGTATATTCATGTAACGAAGGCCCTGTTGTTCTGACCTACAATGTATCTGCATGCAACATTCGTGCTGCAATTTCTTTTTGCATAATGCAAGAGAATGTTCAGACGGCAAGCCCAGGTTCAATCAGGTATCCAGCGACAGGTGAGCATAGACTGTGAGATACCCTATTTTCCCCTCACTTACCTGGTGATAGTTCCTCGGTGACTGCCTGAATTTGTGAGAGAAGTAGCAGAAGGCAACTGCCAAGCAGCAGCCATTGTGCTCGATTGCTCATGGTGAGCAAAGTTTCCTTTTTTTTGGCAGTCAGTTAACAGACGGTTTTTTTGCTTCAAATTGGATCCTGGAATGTTTAGCAAGAAAAATATAAATGAATTATTAATAAGATATCAAGCTTAAGCAGGGGAAATGCCCCAAGAATAAAGGAAATCAATTAGAAATGTTTACCCCACAGTAACTACTAACTTAGGTACAAACTCTATATAAAGTCTGTGGAAATTGTTATCCCTATGGGTAGCTATATACATATATCTTTCGACAGCGTAATTTGCCAGCGAAATCGTTAAGATTTCAGTCATCGAAGGGGCGTCAGTTCCCAACGCACATTATTCACTGCCTCCGCTCGCGCCGCCAAGTATGCAACGTCATGCGGTGTGGCAAGGGCAATGGCAATGGCAATGGACGATGAAGGACTCAACGATGAAGCAAGCAATGGATCCATGGATCCAGAGAGTGAAGCCACTGCCACTGAAGACCACGACCTCTCCGTTGAAGGGGGCGTGCCCGGGAGCCACACGTCAAACACATTCATCACGAGTGCCAGAGTGACAGATGGCAAATGCGCCTACGGCCTCGTTTGTCCGCCAGCTCGTGAGCATTATCCTTGGTCCAGTTTGGTCCCTGACAATCCGGCAAGGGCAAAAGAGGACAAAATGGAAATTTTTTCCAATTATTGCCATCGGAGGTGGCGGCGTCAACAGAAAAAAAGGAACATTTAACGCTTTAAAGTGTGACAATACCTATATTTCATTCAGCACTCAGACCCGAGATTCATGGATTCATCAATAACTAATTGCACAAAATTTTGAGTGACGTCCGCACTTGATCAAAAACTCATTCTGTCACCCGCATGTGGACACGAATCCAATAACGAAAGTATGTGTACAGTATATATATATAGGATATATATACAATATATTCTAAGTAGTGCAATATGTAATGTGGTCACATCTGGGGCTGACATGATTTTGGCATTAAAACGAAAGTCATTTCTGCCAGTGAGAGGGAGTGAAATAACCTTTTCATTTTGTGCTCGCCGCCTTCAAAAATGTTTTCCATTTTTCGGCAAAAACTTCACTTTTATTTTAGACTGACAGCAGCTGTTGAATAATTACGCATACAGAAAAGCTCGCGGACAGGCTAGGGTTAGGTATACAGTGTCGGAAATAAGTTTAAGGGCAGTCTAAAATAATTTCTAAGCAATCAAGAAAAAATAATTCAAGATTTCGATAATTATGTATGAAATATGATATCAAATCCTTGAGAACTTCAACAAAATGTTACCTATGACCTCCCAAGTTTCCTTAACATTTCCTTGGCCTTTTGTTATTTCTCTGAGGACTTACGCCCGCGAAACGGACTGTAAGAGGCACCATATGCCAGCATATGACCCAAGACACGGCTCAGCGGCTCCCATCAACACTTTCAATTTCAAAAGGAAACTTTTGGGGCCACAACCGACCACACACACACACACACATACTCCTATATGGGGGTTGGAATTTTTAGAGGTGAGGGACGTCTAGAGGATTGGCAAGGTTTTACGAGGTCCTGTTAACCGCGGGTATTTACACTAAGTCTAATGAAATGTTTAACAAGCACTTTGCTCTGCGCAAATCCCAATGACCCATAATATTAGCATAAAATCACTTGCCACTGCGGAGAAAAAGGGGGCAGAGCCAGCAGCAGCACCTACAAACCTCCATAAATAAGTAGTTTGGGTGTGTGCTCATGGTGTGCCCATGGTGTGTGTGTGTGTGTATATATGTTGGGGTAACTACTTGCTAGTCAGGCTGCGTGGCTTGACACGCTCTATGGCGAAAATGCGGGCCTCAACTCGGGGAAATTTTCATTTAAATTGCACACTTTAAAAGTTTTGCCCCCCCCCTGCCTCAACCTAAAAAGGGGGCAAGAAAGGGCTTAACAAAGCACCGATATGGCCTACGGATATACATATATATATATATATATAGTATGTATACTATATATATTTTGCCATTACGATGCATATAAATTTTTATGTTGGTCCATACTTTATTTGTTTCCTGGCGGCCGGCATTTGGTTTCTGGGGATTTTAACCCTCCTCTGCTACCAAAAATAAATTACATTAAAATTCTAAGCCATCAGCCGGCGCCCGCGAGCTTTGGGAAAATTTATTTTTCCACATTATCCGCCGCTTGCCGCAAAACTCTATTTTCTATTTGGGTTGAGAATCGTCGGGGATCTGGCTGTCCAGTCAAGTTGTAAAGTATCATTCGAGTCAATTAGTTCATTTGCAGAATTTTCATTTCGGTCTAACAGAATTTTGATGAGTTTCATCAAGTTTTTTTTCTTTTTTTTTAAATAAATTTGAGCCTGAAATTGGGTTAAGCGAGAATGTTACCATGGCTATTACGTGGTTTTTCATTTGTATCCTGTAATTACATCTTTTAAAGGGATTTTTTATGCTGGCTTAAAATTTGGAGGGATCTAAATACTTTTTTAAAGCTTAAATGTTATTTTTTTATGTTTTTTTTAGAAGCATATATAATATTATTCTTATAACATGTTCTATTTTATATTTTATATTGCAAATCATTTTAAAGTATATATTTCAAGTCCTTTCTCCTATTATGACTTTATATTCAATACAATTTCTTATTTATTCTTATATTTTCAGAATGTTTTTCCCTGCCATATTCATCACAAGTCCTTGCACAGGTATGTCCTTTATTCTTCACACTCATGTGTTTGTATACATATACACACTTAAACAAGCACATACACAGGCACAATTTGTACTGATTTTATCATAAATAAATAACATATACAATCACACCTTAACTCTAGATATTTACTCACCTAATTAAATAACTGCCTTGAGTTCAAAATAATGTTTATTAAACCATAAATCAGATTGTTTAGTTTTTTATGGTTAGAATGAATGGAAAAAATGTAAACACACTCCTGTATGGTACACACAAACACGCGAAAAAGGAACACGAATGTTATTTCCGAAGTTATTAGCGTTTCTCAAAGGATTTCAACGCAATCACAACCATTGACCACTATTAAGATGGTTAAATAATGTATTACACTCGAGTTTTTAATGTTTTTAATTGGGGAAAATAACAAAAAACCACGAAAAATTCACAGACGCTAGAAATTTGCTGACAAAACGGGGCAGACAAACTCTCGCTCTCTCACTCTCACGCCGTTCCCTTTGCCATTTCGTTTCGTCCTGCGGCAGAGAGAGAGCCAAGTCAGGGCAGCTGTTCGAAAAAAGGACCTCAGGACGGGCAAGGAGCGTTGCCGAGAACTGTCAAATTGACAGCTGAGAGTTGAAAGAGCGCAGGCGCTGGCTCGTTTCATTGCCATTTTGTTTCCAGGACCTCCAACTTTTTGGCAAGGGTTGGTCCTGCGAGAGAAAAAACAAGAAGAGAGAGAGAGAGAGAGAGTGGGAGAGCGGTTGACAATTACCTGGAGAATTGGCATTAGCCCATTTTCGTTGCGTTATAAATTGCGTTTGTCACTTTGGAGCATTTTCCTACCTCGACACACGGCTAAGGGTGTGATTTTACATTTCCCCCCCTCAATACCAAACCAGGATCTCAGCCCCAAACCAGATCCTTGCCATTACATTTAACTTTCCTTGAGCAGAGTCTGTGCTGCTGCCTTGGAATTAATTTTCGATTTTATTGTCAGTTAGTCAAACGCCAGGACTTGCCTGGCTGTCGCTGCGTCTGACTCTGATTTAATTGAAACTGCATGAATATGCAATTTCGGGCTATAAATTGAAATGCTTCTGCTGCTACCTCTGCTTTCGCCCCCCCTTTTTTTATGGCTTTTTTGGAATTTTCACTTTTAATGGCACTCAGTTGGCTGCCTGGTTGCCTTCATCTACACATCTACAAAATCATATATATGCTTCTCAGTAATAGAATAGACTAGATTCCAATGTAAACACAACATATACTCAGGCATTAAAGAAGTACAGGCAAAGAAAACTCAGGATGTGGGAGAAACTGGTGAATTGCATCAAAGGTGGAGCCGGTTCCAGGAAGAAGAAGGGCTGCCAAGGGGTCAACCTGGCAGAGTTGATGAAGCAGGTGCCTCCGAATCAGCTAAAGCAATTCAAAATATTTGCCAAGAAGCATGAAGAGTACAAGGAGTAAGTTTTGAAAAGTTTGAGAAATATATAAAGAGATTTAGTTAAAGAAAGAATTCTTACGATTGAATAGATAGTTAATAGTAAATATTAGATAGATTTGTATTATTATAAAATAATTTGCTGCACTCTTAGCTTATAAATGAAAACCTTATCCCCCACCAAGGCGCGTTCGCAAGTATCCCGAATCCTTGCCGGCTATCGATTGGAGTTACTATCGCCAGAATGTGCGTCCAGAGTTCGTTAACTGGGTTCGAACCTATGAGACCAAATACGACAAGCTACATTCCCTCTTGAGAATCGACATGCAATTGTGGATCACAAGCGTTACTTTGAATTGGTCGACAAGGAATCGGAGGTGGTTCGACAGGAGATTCTTGAATACAAGGCTGCATCGAACGAAAGAATTAAGGAGTATCAAGAGCAGCTTGAATTCCTGTCGAGCCTTAAACCCTACGACCAAATGACCATGGAAGAATTCTGCTGTGCTCGTCCCCTCTTGGCTCCTGATTTTATAAACAAGCCCACTTTTTGGCCCCACACACCGGAGGAGCAAATCCCTGGACCATCGGATCCAGCAGCAGCTGCTGCTCTCCACGAAGACGAGCCAGCGCCACCTGAGCCGCCAAAGAAACCACCGCCGTCGCCGCAGCTGGAAGCTAAGCCAGCTCCTGAGAAACCATCAGCTGTGGCAGATCCACAAAAACCTCCTGGCGAAATGGTCGAACAAGCTTCTAAATTGATCAAGGATTTATTTGAAAAAGCCACTGTTTTGTTTTACATTGTAAAAGAGAAAATGTCCGTAATAGCCAAAGATGTTCAGAAGAAAGCCGAAGCCGCAAAAGCTGCTCGAGCCGAAGCTGCAGCCAAATCATCAGATCCTGACTCAACTTCTTCAGCTTCCTCAAGTCAGAAAACACTGGACAGCTTTTCAGAGCGGGACTCGAAGCCCAATATCTGCAATCAGACTATTATTCGTTCCGGAGAGGATGAAGGGAATCCGGAGATTAAAGCTCGACACACAGACCTATCCATCGAGGCAGATCCTTGCGAAGCCGAGGACGAGAGGATTCGTCAAAAGGCCAGAGATCTGGAACGCCGTCGTCAGAAGGAGGAGCAAAGGGAGTGGGATGAAATTTGCCGGAAGGTCCCTGATCCTTGCAAACCCAAGGATCCTTGTGAATCGGTGGAGAAAGAACCCGTCTGCGAAGCTCAGCCGGATCCTTGTGAATTAAAGGAGGAAGAACCCATCTGCGAGGCTCAGCCAGATCCTTGTAAGGTCAAGAAGGATGAACACATCTGTGGGGCTCAACCAGATCCTTGTGAAGTCAAGGAGGTGGCACCAGTTTGCGATCCTTGTGAATCCATGAAAGAAGAAGCCGTTTGCGAGCCTCAACCAGGTCCATGTGAATCCATTAAGAAAGAAGCTGTCTGCGAGCCTCAACCAGATCCCTGTAAGCCCAAAGAGGACGAATCCTGTACTGACGAGAAGGAAGACTCTGATCCCTGTAAATCAAAATCCAAAGACACTGAAGACTCAGGAGAACCCAAAGAGACCGAACAGGTCTATATTTCGATATCGGAATGCAGCAAGGAAGTTCACAAGAAGGAGCAGGAGCAAAAGAAACCCGGAGATAAGCCCAAGGAATGCGCATCGCTGACAGAGAAAATTGAGGGCAAAGACCAGAAATTGATAATGGGCCAACAGGTTCCCGAATTCAAGGATCAAAAATGTGATGAAAAGGCCACCATGGGTGGCATCGTCGATGTGGGTCATGTCTATACGGATCCCAATCAAATTGTTCAATTGCTGACCCAGGAAAAGAAGGACAAGGAGGCCAAGGAGGCCACGAAGGCCAAGGAGACCAAGGAGGCCAAGATCCAGACAACGGAGGCAACTTGCATTAAGGATGCCGTTAAGCCTGTAGATGGCAAGCCCGTTACCATTTATCCCAGGCGCCAGATATCACCAAAAGCAAGGACCCCAGGTTCTAAGGAACCCGAAAAGTCACCCAAGGAGTTAGCTAAAGATGTGCATAGCATGGCCAAGGGTGCTGCTTCGCTGCTATCGGAGGCCTCCAACATTTTGGAGGATTTAAAGAATAGCAAAGAGGTGCGCATTGAGATCCTGGAACAGGCCTACATCAATGCCCAGCGACAGGCTCTTGGAGCACTGGCCGAGGCCTCGAAGGCTGTGAATGCTGCCAACAAGTTGGCCAAGAGATCAAGCGAGGCAACGGGTAAGGTCAGTAGCCAGGATCTGGAGGCTCTGGTCATGGCCGAGAAGCATGCTGTTATGGCCAAAATGCTGGCCAATCGCGCTGTTGCCTTAAAGGATGAAATTGCCCGGGTTCTCAAGGATCTGAAGAAGAAAGGATAATCTCTCTATCGTTATATATATGCATACATAAGTATTTTTCCAACGTTTTTGTACCCCACCATGTGTTCTATGTTGTTCGTATTAAATTTTCTGTTGCATTTTCCAGCGTTCAAAGTTTCCCTTTCATTTCGTAACATTACGTTTGTTTTTATGCAAATTTTATGCCCGGCCAGCTTTTGCTGACCAAAAGTTGGCGGCGGGCAATAAATTTTTCTTTTCCACCAGCTTCGGTTTTGCTTCTGCCGCTGCTACTGCTCCTGCTGAAAACTTTTCTATTTGGAATTAGCCAACAAAATGAGCTAACATGTGTGTGTGTGTGTTTGTGTGTGGCTTCGTAGATTGCATAATTATGCAAATTTTGTTGTTTTCCACCCGCTACTTGAATGGTATAAAAGGGTATGATGTATAGAATTGGTAATTTGAATTTGAGATATTATTTTACATGATTTTCTATGGGTTAACGATGCCTTAATTAATATGGAGTGGTGAGTTTTGGTTAAGTTATTTGTTTAGAAATAATAAATTAAGTACTTTGTACTTACTGCTCAGCATAAAATACATTAAATTATATTTGAAATTCGAAATTACTTGCAAACATTTCCGAATGTAAGTCTAGAAAGAATATTATATATAATCGATGATAGAATGATTTCAATTATAATTTGAGCATTAAAGAACATTTAACAAAGTTCTTTGGAAATTAAACAATATTTAAAGACTTATATTATGCTTATAGTAATCAATTTCTAAATCAATTAACTTTGCATACAGGATATTAAACTAGTCTTGGCACTACTTTGTAGCACCTCCATTTTTGGTTTGCTTTCCAAAAGCAGCGATTCTAAAAGTGTTGCCTACTTTTTGGCGCACCATTTTCGCAATCAAACACATTTGCATAATTAGCTAGTCCTGCGAGTGTGCGTGTGTGTTGCGTGTGTTGGTGCGTGCTTAATTCCAGTTTGATAGTTTGTTATAAGCTTTAAGCTGAAACACATTCCTTTTGTTCGCGCACAACAATGGCAAGGTCTGACAATGTAAACAGTCCGCTGAAATCCGGCTTTAATTTATGTGTATTCACCGCATATATACGCTTTTATTTAAATATATATAAATATATATATATATATATTTGTAAACCTGAGCGGCGTTAAACAAGCCATATAAATTCAATTTGAAAGCGCTTTGTCTGGCGCTCCTTTGTGAGTCCTCATTGTATCCACCTTATCGCTTAATCGATTACGTAGGTGACAAAAACATTTTAACAGGTGGAGTGCCATGGGTCTAATGTACCCTTTGGGACACCTTTTCTGGACTCCTTGCGGCATTTGCATATTTATTTGGATTTTCAAACTGATTTGAAGCCCCTCCTCTCTGCAGAGGGTTAGTCGATTAAGCTGAAAAGGATTATTCATGAGCTACAAAGTGCTGTTGCCGGCTTAAAGCCGATGAAGACCCTAAAACTCCAGCAAAGCGAAAGCTTAGCCAAGTTCAATGGAATTGGCCATTTGGCAGCATTTGAACAGCATTTTCCCCGAACCCGAACCCCGAACTTTTCCTGACTAGTTTCATGTGCTCGTTGACAATTTCCCGCTGTTTCTTGTTGCGGAAATATAAAATATTGCGCTTATGTTTATTGTTTTCTGTCTCTGGCAATTTTCAATCGAAATAGATTCTTTTCTTGGCAAAGGCAAGCTCGCTTTCGAGTTCAACTGGCAGTGACCCAAGCATAATTAAAAATCCTAGCGATTCTTTTTCCATGATGATGATGATGATGGTGGGAGGAAAATAACTTTTCCTTTACTCGCATTACGAGTGTTTTTATTGCCTCCCACACTAAAGTCGTTTCTGGTATTTTGGTATGTGCAGCTGATTAACGGCCGGCCTTTATGGCTAGCTCAGTTTTTAATAGCCCGGCCAGGAATGCGCACAAAAGGGCCTAATTAGCGGCATTTAACTAAGCCGCATGTTTGGCGACGTGATCCTGATTATTACACCAACAACACGACCAGGCTCGAGCTCCTACTACGACTCCTGCTCCATAACCAGGACCTGAGCTCACCTGAGTGCCCACGCGACGACCCAGGACATTGAAAATGTAAATTTTCTGCTCGCGCACAGCAGGAGGAAACCTATAGCCGGTCTTGATTAGTGAACAGCGACTCTGGCTTCCCGTGTCTGTGTCCGTATCCACATCCTTGCTAGTATCCTTGTCCTGGCGCGTGTCCCTCCACACACACACATATACATATACATATATGTGTATATATATTGAGGCAGACGCACCGGCACTCGTACCCCCACTTAACGACGTAGTTAGCGTTAGTTAACGTATGTACGTGATATCGTTAAACTTGGTCTAACGTTACCAGACCGCCATCGCATAATAAGTGTCTTATTAGTTATGCCAGAGTACGGAGAGAAATATGTAGGAGTTTTGAGTCTTGAAAATAACTTTAAAATGTTTATAGTTTCAGTCAGCTTTAAGTAGCTATGAATTTAGCTAAGAAATTGCTTGCTTTTCTATGCAGGTTTTGCAAATTATATTTATATTAATAAAGAGCTAGCTTAAGATTTCTGAAAGGTTGTTAAAGTCTCATTTAATAATCCAAGATATATTATTTTCCTGCTAATATTTGTAGGTTGTTGATATTTTAATAATTATCAATATATATATCTCCGAATTTTTCTCCCTCTGCATCCGGAGGGGCATCCTGTTCAAGCAACCTGAAGCCAAACCCAAAACCCAGTTTAGGACACGCATCGCCAAACTAGGAGACACTTTCCATGGCCCGGGGGCAAGCCAGCGTCTCATCAATGGGAAATTCTGTTTGCTTGGCTCAACTGTTGCCCTGAATTTCAATTTGGATCTCTTTCCCCATATATGGGAGTGTGTGTGTGTGTGTGTGTGTGTCTATTTAGAACAATATATACTCGTATTCGCCTCAATTAGCCAATTGCTGATGGTACTTCTTGTACCTAAGCTGCCTCGCTGCCAATTGGCTGGCATTTTCCTTGGCATCGATGGGTTTTAATTAATTCAAGGCAAATACTGAGACCAGTCGTTGTAAAGTTTGTTGGTGCGCGAAATTCTCTACGCAAGCAGGTCCTAAAATAACAAACAACCTGGAAATCTATTTTCCAAGATAAAATTAACGCTGCTGCGTCCTCGAGGTCTAGGGGTGGGGAAATGAAAATTAAATTCCAAACAGCCGGTGGGCCCATTTCGTGGATGGAGGAATGGGACGTGTCCCAGGGATGGTGGTGGTTGTTTCGCCACGCTGTCCAGGTAATCGCCAACGTGTAGTATTTGCTTTTGGCGCTGCTTGTTTATTTTTTAATTTCCTTCCAATTAAGCAACAAACAAGATACCAAAAGCGAAACCGAGACTGCGATAAAAACGCGCAAGAATCAGCAAATAACAAAAAATAAAGTAAGAGAAGAAGGCACCAGAAGGAAAAATTAAATCAATTTGGGGGAGAACCTAAAATGAAAACATGCTGGAAAAATTCATTAAAAAAATCGAAGCTTTCCGGAGTACTAGTTGTGGTGATATTTCTTTTTCTTTGTATTGTTTATACCCTTACAGGACATTTTAATTATAATCAGAGATCCTAAAATTGAACTTTGGTATTTATAGTAAATAGTTTAATGACTACAAGCTTAGCTTAACAGCTTTACAATACTATAAAGAAGTCACCTGCTTAAAATCTTTATTAAATAAATCTTCGTTGAATGTAATTCAAAAATACCTATAGCTAATTTTCATAGACCCTAGCTGGAAGTTAGTTTACCTTCAGATCATCCATTTAAAATTATGCAAAGGCCTTGGCATTTAGAACTTTCCACAGAATATATATTAGCCCACCATGATGTGCGGAAAAATGGCGGGGAAAACCTTTGTCACGCACACATACAAACACATACATATTGAGGTCTCAAAAGCGGCCCCAAAACTTATCCCTGTGCATGTCATTACCTATGCAAAACATGTGCGCATTAATAAAGAATGTACGCCAAGGCACCCTACATCTCTCTTTTTCCAGCACGTACACATCCTGCGTTTCCTTGAAGCAATTAGGTCCTGCACCCAAATACCCGAATATGCTTGCTTTTCTTAGCACTAATTAGGCGCATATGTAAACGAGACCTGCCGGCCAGCACTTAGTCCTAGGCTAATGGAGGCCTATAAACGGGGCCTTAAAGGTAGGCCAAGAGAACTGAAATTATATAAAGATTGGACTATATGAGAATATAATGAAAACATAGCTAAAGCTACTTCAAATATAACCAATTTACCATCACAATATGATCAAACGTTTTCACTTTTTACAATTTTATTAGGCATTACCCTCTACATATCACTGATTCTTTTTTCTGAATAATTACACATACTGACTACACAACACTCTTGTCTTGTTGCAGACAGGACGTCATTAAGGTACATAATCGGGGACAGCACACACACCAATTGGGAGACATCGCGGATCCCTCGTCAATACTCGTAGAAAGAATCATTATTTGCAGGCCATCTGGAATAGGAACTGAATGATGGAACGCGTGGGTCGTCCACTCATATGGTTCTTGAGTAAATAGGGTGGGACACCGTGGTTGGCCAGCATTCCGGTGCCATGGATATCGAGATGCACCCAGTCGGAGCATGGCACCAGTTGGAAAAGCATGGCAGCGGCCAGGCAAGAGGATGCATGGCCCACGCCCTGGTTGCACATATCATAGGACTTGGTGGGGGCGACTAGTTTGCTGAAGTAATTCCAGAGGGGCATTCGCCATAGCCGATCGCCGGTGATGGTGCCAGCCTTCTGGAAATTCTTCCACAGGAATGCATTGTTTGTCCACAATCCCGTCGCCGAGGCACCCAATCCCATGCGCACTCCACTGGCCATTGCACCCACCTCCACCACCAGTTTGGGCTTATCACCGACTGGGCATAGAGTAATGGATCGGCGAGGAGAACAGTTCCCGCCAAGGATGTGTCCTTAATCCGCAGGGTCTTGCCATTGAGCAGGGTCACCAAATCGCCCGGTTTCATGGCCATTCCCGATGGCATACTCTCGCATAGGGGCAACACAGCGGACACATTGATGGGCAGCGAAAGAGCAGCAGCCGCCCGAATGGCGGCCACACACACTGCAGCGCCCGAAACTGCTCCCCGATACTCATCCATGCCCTTGGATGGTAGCAAACACAGGCCGCCGCTGTTGAAGGTCAGCCCCTTGCCGAGCATCAGGATGGGTCGTTCCTCGGGCGAAGTGCCACAGTAGCTGATCTCCAGGATGATGGGAGGTTCGCACGATCCCTTGGCCACCATAAGAAAGGAGTTCAAATTCTGATTCTCGATCCAGTCCATGGATCGTACCTCCACAGCCACGCCGCACGGGCACAGGGCATCGACGGTGGCCTGGGCAAAGATGGATGGTGTCATTTGATTGGCGGGCGTATCCGAAAGTCTCCTGGCCAGATTCTGGGACTCGGCTTTGAACAGGCCACGCGTCCATGCATCATGATCCGAGGATCCATATAGCTCCAGTTTTGGTATTGGCAATCGCTTGGATTTCCGCTGATTCATGTTGTTACGCCACACAGCCATGGCAGCCCCTCGGCCGCCTGCTCCGGATACTCCATACCGTCCACGTGACAGATGGCGCAACCTTGCAACTGACACGCTCGGGCACCCACGGCAGCGCAAACTCGCACATTCTCCATGCCCTCTTCGATGACCTCTTCGGCATTGTAGGCGGCGCCTTCCTTGCCCAGGCCAACCACAGCCACACAGCAGAACTCTTTGTCCAAATTCTGGTAGAGTCGTCCGACTCCCAGTTCCCCATTGAGGCCAGACTCTTTGAGTAGCTCCGCTATTTTGCCGCCAGTGCGATCGTCGAATTTTTCACCGCCAGGTGAGAGCTTTAAGTTCTTGTCGCCCTCCTTGGCATACACACCGATTACCACGCCCTGCATGGGACCATTGGTGCCATCCTCGCATTTGTATCTAACCTGATGGAAAGGATAAAGGATAAGGATAAAGGATAAAGGATAAAGGATAAAGGATAAAGATAAGGATAAAGGATATAGCATAAGCTAACAAAGAGTAGTAAAGATTTAAAGAAAAATATTCTAGATATTCATCATATTATCTATAGCACTTGCAAGCCATTCATCTTTCATTAAAAAGCAGGTGCGTTGCCAGTCTACAGATCTAGAATGCCTCACATTCTAGCTGGCGTTACTCATCTTGTTATTACCATGCCTTGAGCCCCAACTCACCTGCTGATGAAGTGGACCTTTGGCAAAGAATGTTGACCGCGGTGACCTCATCAATCCCATCATGGATCGGCGCAATAATAAAGCCACTTGAGAACGAGGCATTTTGCGTTGCAATTTGGATAAAGTTCGCGGGAAATTTTCACTTAATGTAGAATACGAAATTTCGGAAAGCGATCTAATCCGGCAAAGTAGAAATCAGTTCAGCAGCTGTAAAAAAAAAATCTTGAGCTTATTTAAAAAATTAAGCACAGTGTTAGCTCCGTTGAGCTGGAGTCGAGAAACTGAAATGACCGAAACTTTCGAAATCAACTGACACTTTGACAATTTTCACATTCAGTTTACTGGATCCAAAACAAATTGGTAGTTGAAATATATTAAAAATTTGATAATTGAGAATTTTGTTTGTATCCACCGACACTTGAAACTTTATGCGCTGATTAAATTTGCAATTATCGGCTATAACAAGTGCATTCCTGCCTGCGGCTTAATGAAAAAGTGAATCAGGGGCGGAGAAGGACGCGTAAAAATACCCGTGTGTATATAAAAATTGCAACCAAGCCGCAGACGAAACACGTAAAAGCAATAAAGCAATAAATTGCCCAATTTGAAGCACTATTGTAGCCAATAATTTGCACAGCCACTTGGCCTGCTTCTGATGCAGAAGCCCTTATTTCAACCCATTCTTCCAGTCCTTGCCACCATCCAGCCACCACCACCCACACCCCACCCACCACCTACCGCATATAATTTTCAACAAAAATATTCACATTTGTCAATGTCGCGTGATTGATGTGGTCGAACGCATTTCCGCCAAGCCGAGCGGGCCAGCCAACGTGCTGATGGGGTCCAAATAAAAAACACACAGTCCCAGAGCGCAGTCACAGAAATACACTGAAAATAAATTATATTGGTAGTTAAATATATATTAATATAGGTAAAAGTTCAATAAACTAATTGTAACATAATAATTAATTTAATTCGAATCCAAACTATTGGGGAATAAAAGAAGGAGTCACTTCCGAGCTTATGAAGCATATATATTCCTGATCAGCATAAATAGTGGATTCAAATTAGTCATGTTCGTCTGAATAGCTTCTCTGCCTGCCTCTCTCTCTCGCTCTCTTGATTTGTAACTCCAGTGATATCTCTTTCTCTCTCTCTGCTTATCTCTAGAGAACGCTCTTTTACTCTCGCTCTCACTTTCTCTGTTCTCTTTCCTCGGAGACTATAAATACAGTCGCTTCTGTCGCTCTGGCCGCATTCTGTTCGTGGCCCTCCAACTGTTTACATCTATGGTGATAGTGGGTAGTGATAGTGATAGTGATGCTATATGAGAGATCAGTCTTAGGCTATAACTAGCTGTGTTAGCTATTTATTTATTTATCAATGAATTCCCTTATTGCCATGATACATTAATATTAGTTTAAAGTAAAACCTCGGTGAGATACATACATATATACAAACATATACTCAAAGTTAATAGACTAACTTAATAATAAATTATTCACGAATATTCATTTCGTACCCTTATTTTGATACCAATTTTTGCTATATTTGTATACCCTTACAGGGTATCATAACTTCAGTTAGAAGCTTGTAACGTCGTAAAGGAGTCGTTGCCGACCATCAATATATCATGATACATATATATATTTTTGATCAGTATGAAAAGCTGAATAATCTAAACATGTCCGGCAGAAAAAAATTTGGACCATTTTAGAAATTTTAAAATGTCAAAATTAAGACAAATTTTATTTTTACATTTAAAAACTAAATATGCAGATTTGTTAACCCTATAAAACTAGCTCAGAAAATCTTTATTGAACTAAATAAATTTTTGACTTAGATCGGATATTTGAAATACTTTAATTACCAAAAAATAGTTATAAAACAATGCAATTTTTGTTGGTTTCTTAATTATATTATTATTGTTATAACTAAGTAAAAAACATCATTTTCAAAGTGGAAATCTTTCTATATATACTCTTATTACCTAACCAACAAGCAAATGAATTTAAATTTAAAAATTATAATTTGATTGAATAAATACACAAAATATACGCTCAGTGTAGATATATGCATGGCTAGCAAGTAGGCGTCGCATAAAAACAAGCAAAAAATATACATTTATTTTTTTCATATACAAATGAGTGTACAAGAAGGATGCTGAGGCTATGGACATGGCCATTGCCATGGTTATATGTATATATGTATGTACATATATATGAAGCTATGGCGGTGAGCCCGGAATCTGGACTGTGGGTATGGCCGTGTTGGCGACATTACGCGATTTCACGCATGATTTCAAATTAATGACAGAGGGAGCTCAGTGCACACACACAGACACATGGGACATGGCACACCTTTAAGCCTGCACACAGAGGGGCAGGGGCAGGGGCAGGGGCAGGGGAAGAATGAAATTTAAAATGTCCACGCGGGACAGGATGTTTAATTTCCTAAATGCATAAATCTCACTAATACGGGCAAATCTAAATCTAATGCGGTTAACGCTTTTTTCTTGCCCCGCCACTGTGGGGTGCGTGCAACATCCGAAAATCATAAACAAACTTCAAAGAGGACAATGGGCAACCGAAAAAGCGTTTTGCAGCTTATTACACACGGCAGCCGCACGGTAACTGGTGGTCCTGGCCTGCTCCTGCTCCTGCCCCCTGCCAACCGCAACAATTCACCAAAGTCCTGGTTCTGATGGCCATTTGTGGGTGGTGATACGGAGGCCTAACGTAGTTGATTCCTGGTAACCCAATCCACACACGTAACGCGTTCATTTCCATTTCCGTTTTTTGTCCTCGAACAAACCGAAAATGTTCTCCCACACAAAACATACGTAACTTGGGGCTGGCTTTTGTGGAAGATCCTTTCACAAGCGAACCCTCATCCCCCCCCCTCTTGTCCTTTGTTCGATTATTTGTTTGCTTTTTCCACAGAGTATTGCCAATTGTTGCAGCATTGATGCAAATTTATTGCCATCTTTGTGGCCTTTTTTAGGATTATTTGGTTTCGTAAATTAAAAGAGATGCCTTAGCTGATTTTGTGGTCTTTTGCTAACACTTAGTTTTAAATACAAATTGATTTCTGGCTAGATAGTATGCACTTTACTTTAGCTATAGGCAATCAATGAGTAATATATCTTCTTGGTTTTTAGTTATATTTTTTACTTTATTTACAATAATCATGAAACTTCTATTAACGTTCATAATTGATTCCAGCCTTGATTAATTAAAGCATTAGAGGTGCTGTTATTGATCAGGCGAAGTTTTGTATAATGATCTCTTCAATCCAATTGGAATAGCTCAAAAAATTCGCAAAAACTTACACTCCACGGGGCTTATTTGTAAATGGGAAAATGTAGAAAATTAATAAGGATATAAGGAATTTTTTTTATATTTACTTTATAGAATTATATATTATGCAGTTTTCTTTGTAAAACAAAATCACAGACAGGCATTCTTTGATTATGAAAGATTCTAGAGCCTTAAGCACCTTTGCTCATCCTTTTGTATATTGTAGTATGATTGATTATATCTTTTAATTACCTGTATATCGAACTTATTGTTCCAATTTAAGTATAGCTATATAATTATGCACTCTCGTTTTTTGGGTGCCTATAAATATGGGAAACATTATAGTCTCTCTCAGATGGAATGCATACCAAACGGCGTTTTGGGATTCCCCAATAAAATAAAACGTGCAGATCCCCGATTAAGTCGTCGTCCAAGAATTAAACAAACTTCTAGTAAGAACCACCATGGAATATACTTAATCACGAAGCACTCAACACAACTGTCGACGTGATAAGGTCGCTCAAAAGCGTACAATTCAAGCTTATTAGCAGATTATCAGTGTTGAAATTCCTAGAAGTTTACCAAACTTTGGATTCATATTTCATTGTAATTTGATCATGTATTTCACTTTTCAACTTTATTTTCTCTTGATCATATTATTTTTTTGTATCATTTCTTTTGATATCTAAAATAGATATTTTATTTGAATGCATTTATGACTCGATGAATCCAATTCGTATAGGCCAATACATTAGTAAATACGGCTACTCCATAGTAGGGCTTTCGATGATGGCTGACAATTCCGAATTGTACAAATCTCAAGGAATTCATATGTTCTATCACTGCTCCCAACGGACTTCCAGAGTCACCTTTTCCCACATAACTGTTGTAACTGCCTGCACAGATGTGGGTGTGATCGACATTGTATCCATAAAAGTAACGACATCTAAATCGATCGACATTCTTCATATAGGCAGTCTGGAGAACACTACTTTCGCTTTCATCTGGGGTTTCGCCCAGCCTGATACAACAAAGTATCTGCGAGTATTTATAATGTTCTGCAAACTGCTACCCAAGACCAAGCAAATTGGTCTAATGCTGTCTGAATAACATAAAGTTTGACTATTATTATATATAGTTATATATTCGTGTTATTTACCTGAATATTTACTGTACGGTCTAATCTCCCTAGAGCAATGTCATGGTACCTAGAATTCTGAAAGCTGGGATGCCTTATTTTGTTTATGATCAAATACTCTCTATGCGGCGGCGCACATTCATCCTCATCACAATCTCGGCGAGTCTGCGAATTGTGTTCGCCCAGTCTAGCGATTCTATAGAAAAAATAATAATAATAATGTAATCATACAATATCATATTATTACTTACATCCTTTGGTTATTATACCTATCCCCAAAGCAATGTCCAGCTGTCAGAATAACCCTAAAGAAATATATGAATTAGAATACTTATAAAGAATTCTCGAAAAATACCCACTAGAATGAATAAGCGAGCCACCGCAAATGAATTTATTTGAAATATGCAAATATACCATCCATGGCTTAGCCATTAGCTCTTCATCATGACCTCCTGATATACGGGGAAACATTGCTTGTGATATGCCACATCCTTTATCTAAAAATGAGGCGAAACCTGTAGAAAATAAGCTAAAGACGATCAATTGAGTCACTAGAAAAGCTCTTAGAAGATGCTTCATCTTGGAGCTCGTAAATACAACTGAACCGTTTTTCTACAAATCGTATCACTCATCATTGATATAAATAATTCAAGAAGATTAAGTATATAATTATAGTAATAATATATATTTGTAAAATATTTATATTGATGTATGTACTCACTCAGATTTCTAGGTATAGATTTTATCTCTATTTTGTATATATTTATTTTTGTTTTAAAAATATTCATAATCGCCAATGCCTTAAGCTTGAAATATAATAGAATGTGTGTGTGGCCTTGCAGTCTGTTAAATGAAGTCCAAGGCGGTGGGTGCTTTTTTGTGGCATGGAATTCTCAGATGGCTCGTAAATTTGCCGACTGCATAAATCACACAATTGAATTCTAATTTTTCCTACTCCGGCAGACAACAGAACAATGTTTGCTCGGTTGGGTTAGGAAATGCATTTGCGAGGCTCTGAATCAATCATTATTTTAATGCACAAATGGGAGCAATTACAGTCAACTGCTGCTGGGCCAGACAAAAGAATGTCTCACTTGATTTATTGAGATTTGACCAATGTTTGCTATTGGCCATACATCTTGTTTATCAACTGCCAAATGCCTTTGAATACTGCGTACAGAAAGTCGACTCTCAAATGCTGGTGAAAGCAAGAGTTTACAGTTTACACAGAGAGAAAAAATAGAAGCCAAATGAAACATAATTTAAAAAATATGGCAAGAGTTTCAAATTTATTCATTGTGGCAGTGTTAGGTGAATACATAAACAAGTTGTCTATATACCACTGCTTAGTATTACTATTTTGTAAGTGCAATAGTTTCTTCGGTCCAAATAGCTAATGAGCCTGGTTACCTGTTTTCAATTAGCACCTGCACACCCCACTCAATCGTCACAAACAAAGGCAAATATTGTGCCCACTTGGGGTATATAAGCATTGGCAAGACCCTAAAGTCTCTAATAGTCACATAATGGCTTTCTCCAACTCCGTGTCGCTTATTTGTTGATTTTTGCCATCAGCTGCTGGTCATCAGTATCGGCAGACCTACGATCCGATCTGAAAGATTTTGCTGGCTTAGTTCCTCGACGACGCATTGGTTATTTAACCGCCAGATATTATATCTTCGATCCGAGATTCCGACAGGCCGTGGAGTTTGTTCGCAGCGATGAGTTTACAAACACCTGGCAGCAAATTCGTGCAGCTCCCGATTTTGTTAATATTATCAATTACCTAACCGAGCATGGCTCTGGGTATGATATCACCACTCTTGTGGACCGTTTGATTGCCCGATTGAGGGCTTTCCAACTGTCGCGCACTGTACCCGTAGAGCTGATGCTACGTCGCGATCTTACTACCTTCCTGCGGGACATTTTACAAAGTTTGCCCCGGACAAGGATCTATTCACTGATGGCCCAGAAAGTGCGACAAGGTGGGGAGTTTGCCAAGCTCTACAAGGCTCTCAGGGATAAGGCTTTCAAGGATCTGGTGCAGCGTGCGAGGGTAAGGATATCGGATATAATTATCAGCTTTTTTTTAAGTTTAATTAGTGAAATTGTTGTTAATCCTTTTAGTACTCTCAAGAATTGAGGGCACCGTTGAGAAAGCTGAGCCAGAAGAGCATCAACGTGGATGAGTTACTGCAAATACTGTTTGAGATCATCAGTTGGGGTCCTCAGGTTTAATAGGTGTTAAACATTTATTTATTGATAGAATTTAGTTTATATTTATTATTATTTCTCCTCCAACCTAATACCAATTGCGTTGCAAAGTGGCTACGATCCAGGGGGTATAATGATAGACATCCGTAAATATGCTATAACCATCGCAATTACCTGTAACCGAAGTGGCTAATCCAAATTGGGCAAATATGGTTCTCTTTTTGTAAGAGACCAATGCTCCCAAAGGACTTCCCGAGTCGCCAAAGCAAACGAACTTAGTAGGATTTCGGCAGCAAAATCGCTCTGGATTACCATTACACCAATACTCGTTGATCCGCCTTACATTCAGCCTCTGAAGCCGCGTCGGCATCTGATAATAGTGTGCACTCTGACCCCACCCAGTTAGGGTAAACTCTGGAACAGAGTTAATCTTTGACCTTAGTTTCATGTCCAACAGAATACATATTGGCCTAACATTTGCTGTAAAAAGAATTTAATTTGTATATTATTTTCGGAAATATTTGCTTTTATTTACCTCTGTAGATCACAGTTCGGTCGAGTTTGAGGATCGCTATGTCATATGACATATGAGTAACGTAATTTTCGTGCCTGAAGATTTGTATTACACGAAATTCCTCAGTTCGACCATCCCTATTCGTAGCTGAATCCAGTTCACCCAATCGGACATATCTTTACCAATAAGAAATAATTAATATGCAGCTGAAAAGAATTTTATATTTCATTACATACAAATTATCGTTCACTTGGGTACAATGAGCAGCGGTCAGTACAAAACCTAAGGAAAGATATTTAAAAATTAATATGGTAATAAATAAATTATAGTAATTACTAACGGTATGCAATCAGTGAACCTCCACAAGCGAAATTTCCATTGCGCAGCAAGTAAGCCATCCATGGAGCCCGCTCTGAATTTTTACCACCGATAACTCTTGATCTGTATGACCTTTGACATCGATCGTCCAGCAATTGTGCAGATCCAAATCCGAGAAGTAGGAAACTTATAATGGCCAGAATAACGTTTGGTAATGCCATCTCGATGGAATCCACAGAACAACTGCAATATGTCAATTAAAAATTTGTTATTTGTTGTGCCCACTTTGCAAAGCAAATTCTGTGGAAACAATTAAATGTGCCCCTGGAGTGTAATGTCTTGATTATCAGCATTGCGGTTCACAAGAAAAATATAATGATGCGATTATTTCTAGGTAAAGATAACACCTATATGTACACCTATATGTACAAAAATAATATTTAAATGAAATTACATATTCAAATCTGGCATTATTATAAGCATTTATTATTATTTGAGTAACATCAATCATTTCCATTTATAGTTTGTTTTACATATTAACCAAAAATCGACCCAAAGAAGGTAATTATTTTCGTCCATGGGCTGTCCTTCTCTTTTGGTTTATTTATTGTGCTAACAATCCAGGGAGTAACCTTAACGACACCGGTATAAGTGTTGCATAATGGATTTGAGCCTCCGGCGAGTACTCCTAATTGAACCGAAACCGTCTCGCCATTGTACTTTAAATAACCTTCCAAAGGACTTCCCGCATCACCGTCACATGAGAATTCTCGGGATTTTGTACACAAATATTTCCATTTCCTCGATTGCCACAAGAGGATGGATTTTCTATACGCTGAACAGTGACTTGTTCACGGGAATTCACTACTGTGAACTCTGTGATGGAGTTGAGTTGTGATTCCACTGCTGAATCCGCGATAATACAAATCGATTTGATAGTGGCTGCGGATGGGAAAATGTATTGAATACTTTCGAATACTAAAAAGTCTGGAAAATGAAATATTTCCTACGTTTGTACTCCACTTGTTGCTTCAGTTCCAGTAGGGCAATGTCAATGTTTTTGTCAGGATGAGGATTAATATATGCCATTGGAATTGTTTCTTCTTTGTCTGGGGTAGACTTATCATATTTCCCCAATACCACAGAGCTGGAAAAAAATAATACAAGTTTTTAGTAAAATATAAAAAAATCTCTAAAAAGTCATTACTTACTAGTCACCCTTAAAGTTCACACAATGCTTAGCAGTAAGAACGAAGCCTTAAAGAATTTTAAATAAATTGTAAGTCAAAGTCAAAGTAAATTGTAAATACTTACGATTTGAAATGAGTGAGGCACCACACTTGATGGAACCATTGAGTTTTATGTAAGCCATATGTGGAGTGGGATTATTATATGAACCGCCCCCACTTATCAGGGGTATATATCTTGGCCGACATCCCTCGTCCAGTAACTTGGCACATCCTTGTCTCCCGAAGATCAGGATTATTGAAAGCATCAGCAGTGAGTAAGCGGGCATCATCTTAATGCAAAAAGCTTCACAATTGAATTGAAATAAATATAAAGTTCTGACTGCCTGCTTTTATATAGATTAAAATGGGAATTCAGACGAATTCTTTGTTATCAGTTTTCAGAAAATACCATTCAAAACTGAAATTATCTGTATATTTATATAAGCTTTCAGAAAAAAATATAAATTAAACTCTGCAAGGCTACAATCAAAATTAAACATATGTATATATATTTATAACTTAATATATATAAATAATATATATAAAGGTACGAATTTTTTAATAGTGTGACTGAGAAAAACCTAAAATACTCTTTCAATGGCCCGTTTTTATCCCTTATATGTATCAAGTTTCTCAAAAATATATTAAACTTACTGGAAAGATAATAACTTTACTTTCAGATATTTCAATATTCAGGATATTTAATTAATAAATTTGTTAAAAATAGTGTACGGAATGATATTCACATATTTCGCATAATCGTAGCACTTTTCATGACCGGAACACAGAACTCCATATAAAACACTGGATGTGATATGATTATATTTATGGGTACTAAAAAGGGGGCTTCCAGAGTCTCCGTGACAAACAAAATGGGAGGGATTTTTATTAAGTATAAAAATATATATCTTAATGTGTATTGCGTAAATTTTGTGCGTAATTTGAGTAGGGAAACGTCCTGGCCCCATGGAAAGAAAGCTTAAACTGTATTTGATATTTTTTTCTGACGAAGAGAAATATTTTTATTGCAAATATATAGAAGTTCGGCAGCAAGGTTTCATCGTTTGATAAGGAAATTATTAAGAAATCACACAGCGTAAAATATACAAAATCGAAAGGAAAATAATAAATTATAAAAACATGTTGAATAAATTAATTAAAATATGAATTCTGCTGAATTCCTTGTTATCAGTTTCCAGAAATTACCGTTAAATTTTAATGATTAAAGCTTGAGTTAATCATCATTTTTTATTTCGTCCATTGATACCCTCTTAGTGACCCTTACATATCCTGGGCATAACATTCAATGTTAATATTAAATTACATTTACATTTCATTTTTCTACAAATTACTTCTAATAGTGTTACAGATCCAAGAAGTGTACGGAATGATATCCACATATTTCGCATAATCGTAGCACTTTTCATGACCGGAACTCAGAACTCCATATAAAACACTGGACGTGATATAGTTATATCGGCCGGTACTAAAAAGGGGGCTTCCAGAGTCTCCGTGACAAACAAACTGGGAGGGATTTTGGCAACAAATTTGTCCATTTGGATTGCCACAATATGCTGAATCCATTTTCGTAACTGATATTTCTTGGAGAACAGTGGCTTGTATCTTGTTAGTGCGGGACATCTGACCCCAACCGGTTACAGTAAAGCTATTTACCGAATGAAATTGCATTACCTCATTAAGGTTTCCAGATATTACAATGCAAATTGGCCTGATGGTTCTGAAAAAAAAAGAGAATTATTGATTTTTACAGTAATTTTTTATTAATATGGAAATATATATACTACCTGTGTATTGTGTAATTGTTTGGGCTAATTTAAGTAGGGCAATGTCCTGGCCCCATGGTTCAGGAAAGACAGCTGTAACGCTAATGTCATAGGTCTGTCCATCCGTTGTAGTCGATGTATCATACTCTCCTAATCTTGCATAACTGTAATCAATTATGTTCACTTTATTTGATCTATAAATATTTATAAACATTTCGTTACTTACAGTAATTTGGAGGTTTTGCACAATGAGCAGCTGTTAGAACAAACTCTGCCAGGTTCAATTGAGAAAGTGTGTATTTAATTCGTTGCAAAATAATATTATTATTGGTAGATTAAAAAAATTATGGTCAGATTGATAGATTAATACATGGAATTATATAGAATTAAAATAGTACTCACGAGAATTCACGAGTGAGCCACTGCAGATGTATTCTCCATTATAAATTAGGAATGCCATCCATGGAGATCGATAAGCATTCTTGCCATTGATCATCATCGGCACAAACCCTGGATGACATTTCTCATCCAAAAAGCGGGCAGCTTCCAGTTTTCCAAAGTGCAGGATTACCAGTAGTATTAACCGTGGAAGCGCGGATGTCATCTTGATTGAGAGCGTGAAACAAAACTGATCTTGAGTGACTATGAATTCTTTCTGGCAAACAGAGATATTTTTATTTAAAATGTATACAAATGTGACAAGGTTTTATATTTTGATAAGGAAATATTCCAGTGAAGCATCAACAACTTTATGGTCTTACAGATTTATTTCTTCTATTCGTATGAAAGCATTGCTGTCAGAGGTTAGAAACACTCTAGTTATCAAGCTTTTCCGGGTTCCCAAAAACAAAGGCAAAATTTCGATGATTCAATGCTTTAATGTTGCTTCATTTTTCATTTATAAATAATTGTAAATTATTATTATTATTCTTATATATTTATTATTATTTCAATTTAAATATTTCTGCGTTGTCGTACCACCTCAACGATCCAATCAGTAAATTGCACGACATTCGCATACTGGCTGAAGGATTGACACCTATCAGTCAGACCTCCATGGAGTACTCCGACTTGGGCAGTGACAGTTTGATATTTATGTTTAAAATCAACTGTTAAAGGACCTCCTGAGTCACCCTGACAGGCAAACTGATTGTAGCCCTGGGCACAAATAAATCCATATGGTCGACCACAATTATCCCAATGCAAACGCGTTAATTGTGCTTCTTGAAGTATCCATGGTCGTTTTTCATAGTCCTCATTGGAAATCCGTCCCCAGCCAGTTATAGTAAAGCTGTTACTATTGGTGAGTAACGACTGTTCAGCTCCCAAAATAATACAAACCGGTTTGATATGAGCTGCAGAATGAAAACATCATTAAAATTAACTTAAATCTTCAGCCAGCCCTTACGTACCCCCGTATATCACTTCACGATTCAATTTTAGGAGCATCAGGTCAATATGACGGTCATTATGAGGAATAAATTCTTCTATTTCAAATGATTGTTCCAATTGTGGGTCCCGTGTATCGTGGACTCCCAACTTCACAGCGCTGGGAAAAATGAAACGATAATTACTACTCTTTTTTAAGAAATCATTACTTACAAGTCGGCATTGTGGACGAAACAATGTTTAGCGGTAAGAACAAAGCCTGTGATATGTTTTATATTTCCAAATCATGTTTAGAATTGCTTTAAGTAAAGTTGATTACTTACGATTTGAAATAAGGGAGCCGCCACAGTGGTGCTCTTCATTGCGCGTTATAAAAGCCATATATGGAACACGGTCAGAATTTGAACCATTTAGAATCATAAACACCTGTCTTGGCCGGCATCCCTCGTCCAGCAGTTCGGAAAATACCTGTCTACCGAGAATCGAGATTGTCAGAAAAAATATCAGCATCATCTTCGTCGATTTTACAGAACCAAACAGTTTCACAATAGAATTGAAATAAAAACCACACTTCTTCTGGCTCGCTATTATATTCAGACGCTGTTTTAATAAGCTGATAACAAGCTGCAGGTTAAAAGTTGATCATCCATTTCCAGGTATATCACATTTCATAAGAATCTTGGTAATTTGTATGCTATACATTTATATTGCTTTTAAAGATCTCTGGAGTATGTTAATTGTTATGACAATATCAAAAGAATTGTATTCTTCAGATTAATTAACTTAAAATACAAATTTTTTCTGTTCATTATCTGTACTTTTTATACCCTTGCAGGGTATTATAATTTCAGTCAGAAGTTAGCAACGCACTGAAGGAGGCACCTCCGACTATATAAAGTATATATATTCATGATTAGGATCAACAGCCGAGTCGATCTAGCCATGTCCGTCCGTCCTTCTGTCCGTCTGTTCGTCTGTCCGTCTGTGCTTCGGTCCGTCTGTCCGTTTCTACGCAAACTAGTCTCTCAGTTTTGAAGCTATCTGAATGAAACTTTGCAGTTAGCCTCCTATATATTCTCGCTCGTATATATGTCGGATTGGGCCGGATCGGACGACTATATCATATAGCTGCCATACAAACGATCGTTAGATGTGGAGCAAAATGCAAATCTGTGAATTTAAATATGTATATGCAAATATAATATGTATAGGTGAATGAAATGAAAGCAGGTATTACTTCATTGTTTTTTAACACAAATATATATAATTTATATTGTATGGATTCCTAGTCATAGAATTTCTATCTGCAAGGGTATATAATCTTCGGCGTGCCGAAGTTAGCTTCCTTTCTTGTTCCCATTAATCTCAATTATCTCGTATTGGTAAATGTTGCATTTTGCCTAATCTTGGGTTTAAGAATTCCATGAAATTTAACAATAATATGAAAGCAAAGCAAATATTAATTATTATTCAAGGAAATTAAAGGTGAGACCTTCAATGGCTGTGACTTGGTGGCGTTTTTCACCTGATGTCACTACAATGTGGAAAATCAGCAGAAAAGGAAAATCCCCATTGCAATATGCTGGCACGCACGCACATAGGTGCACAATGTGCAATCATTAGTGCAGCACGAAATCAGGTTGCAAGTGCATCTTGCTGACGCAATTTGCCCAGAAAGCTTCATTGATTCATCACAGACCGATGATGGGTTGGCGCCTAAAAGTCACTACCGATGCATCGGTGATAAATGTCAGGCAGTAGCATAAGGGATTTTATTCAGTCCGGAGCTTGCTGCATAATTTGTCGACATCGACATAGTTTTTATGGCTGGCAGTTGCAAGTTTATTTGCCACAAAATGCGGCCATATAAGCGTTGCCAAGTTTATTTCGAATGGAGTAAATTGCTGTCGCTGTTGCCGTTACTGTTGCTATTGCAATTGCTGTTGATGTTTCAGTTGCTGCTGAATATGCAACAAAAAGTTGCAGCAACTTGAAACCCACATGGCGAGCTGGAAAGCCAAGCCAAGCCGATCCAGTCCACATCATTTTGAAGCAGTTTTTGGCTGACATCGTGGCAGAGGCGGCGAATGGGAACGAATGGGATGCCTCAGCTGGCAGTTGGTCTCCTGCTGCTCTTCCTTTATACTCCTACTCCTGATCCTTGCTGCCCCAGCTCCACATCCTGCTGGCTCTGCTGCTTTTGCTGTTTCCCCATTTTGCTTGACATTAATTTTATGCCATGTTGCTGGCGTGCCAGCGGGCCAAAACGCGCTTAAATTGTCGCATTTGTCTTGCCGTTTTAAGTTGGCTGTTGCTGCTGTGTTGCTGCTGTGTTGCTCCTGCTGCATTGCATAAACTTTTGTGTAATCCTTTCAATTTGTTGCATACTTTTAGGCGGAAATTAAAATAACAAGCGCTACGTGGCGACCGCTACACTCGAAAGAGAAAGACGGAATTACTTAGGATTAGAATAAACTTTAGAGCTCCACGTTAGCTGTAACTGAAATATAGTGTTTATAGCTCTCTAGTCTATATTTTGAGCCATGAATTGCGATGTTAAGTGTAAGATTAAAGTCTGACCTAAGTCCTTAAATGTGTGTCTTAAAGTAAGGAAAGTTTTAAGAATGTCAGTGCGATTTGTCTTTTTTCTAAGCCTAGTTTTAAAACAACTTTTAAGCGATTTCAAATTCCCTGCAAATTATATTTGCTCCCCATTTTTGTGAGTGTACTTACTGGCTTAGTTACTGCACTGGCATTTGTTGGGGAAACTTGCACTACACGTGTTATTCCGTACACTCTAGTTCATCAATTAGTAACCTAGACAATGTTGCTCCATTTCTGTTTCTGGTTCTTGGCTTTTTGGGTTCCCTTGGATTACACAACCCAAACGTCTTTCGCCCGTGTGGAGTGCATTTCATACAGTAGAAATTTATGCTACGAATTTCTGTAATGAATTTTGCAAAAATAGTTAAATTGAATTTTATGCTGCCGCAGCCCCTTCCTTTTGTTATTCCAACTCCAACTGTTGTGCGCTGGCCCTGTCATTCGGCATCAAGCAAAAGTAAATAATTGCTGCTTAAAATGCTCGTCAGGAGTTGGTCATGTACACTCGCACTCGTCCTGGTACCTTATTCGTATTTTATTTTCATGCTTGGCCAACAGCCCTTTGGCCTTTTTTCTTTCGACTGGCCAGAATTTTGAGTGGCAGCAGCTACGGCAACATCAGGACCAAACCAAAACCAGAGGCAGGAGCAGGAGCGTTATCCTGATGGGTCGATTTGTTTTTTGCTCCTTGGGCGGCTGACTCGTTACCGCCTTAACTGCAATATCAGTTACAGGAGCCGCTCTCTATTTCAAAGCAGCCTTTGGCCGCCCGGTTGCCCGCCTTCCCTGCCCGTCTGCCTGCCGGTTATATTTCGACCAGATTGTCTGTATTTGCGGTTTGTGCGTACGTGACATGGATGTTCGACGTTCGACTGGCGTGCCTGCTTGCTTAACAATTAGTTTTAAAATGCTGCAGGACATGGCCAGTTCTTGTACTCGAACAGCTTCTCATTAGGGAGCCGGAGGATTCGCCGTCAAAAACTCGACTGCGTAATCCTTGGGCGAAATATAGAGATTGCTGTTCTGATGAAAAACCAGAAGGGGAAAAAAGCAAAAAATAAACAAAACCATCGAATAAAAATCAACAACAACAATCAATGTTGTCCCGTAATCAATTAACGATTTAACGTTCGTCTAGGGCTGGTCAAACTGGTCAACTGTGTGTGCCCCGTCAGCATTTGGCGCCTCATCTCCCGCCTCCGGCTCTTTTTTTTTTTGTTTTATCACCACCCCCTCGAGGGGGGTTTGTTTGTATACGCGGGGGAAGTTCGAAGGTCGCCAAGGGGTCATGTTGATGGGGGAGACGGATACTGCATGGACACGTCATTGTGAATGCATTTTGGGGGAAAGCGCAATTGCCTTTGTATGTGCAGCTGCACTGCAACAAAATTTGGCTAAATAAATAGTTCTAATTTAGGAATGATCTCTATATAATATATAAATAATCTGACATAGCTAACACATTTTAGAAACACAGTTTATTAAACTCCTTTAAGCTCTTTCACAACCCTCTTTTAATTTTATTTTTTATTAACCAACAAAAGTTGGTTAGATAAATAGTTATATTTTGGAAAGATCTCTATATAATATTTAAAAATCAGACATAGCTAACACCTTTTGAAAATCAGTTTATTAAACCCATTAAGCTCTTTGACAACCATTTCCTCTTTTAAATTTTAATTTTCTATTGTATCCCCTTGTTATTTACCATTTTCTTGAGTGTATCGACTGCTAGCACTGACAGGGCTGTCATCTCGCTAAAAGATCCTCTTAGTTCCTACTACCATTTCAGCATCGGGGAAGTGAAACCCCAAGCGAAATTCGATAATCTGCAAATGGCAATCTCATTCTTGATTGCCTTGTCGTCCATTTGAAACAATTATATATATGAGGGACGATGGCAACCCTGGTCGACCCAGCGGAAAGTACGAGTATATTTGTTGGGGGGCTAATGTGATTACTCCTGTCATTATTTCGTCGCTACATCCGTCTCTTCCAAAAGGCATCCGCCTGCCATTAAATTGACCACCGACGACTGGCTGGCTGTCTCCCCCATATATCTATATATATATACATATATATACATATAGCCAGATGTGGGTGCGTGTCTGTGTGCATTTAACTGCACGCTTTTCAAACTTTGACCCGCGCTTCATTCCGGAACTCCAAACGAACGTCCTGCGGTGCGGTGCGGTGAGGGTTTGATTGGTTATTGACTTTTAACAGAAAAATTGATGTAATGCAATTAGTTTTACAGCTAAACCGTTTGATGATTGTACAACAAAAACAACAACTGCTAAACGAGCACTTTACAGCCAACAAGAGCTGTTTAATGGCATTGGGGGCGGTGGGGTTTGTTGCAAGTACAAGTACATTGGAAAATGTATATGCATACGAGATGTTGCCGTGTGTGTGTGTGTGTGTGTGTTTGCCAAGGGTGATCACACAAGTCCCCCAGGGAGGTCGAAAGACTATCTGTTTGAGATTTCATTTCTCCGGGGGTTTGCTCAAAATTACTCAAGCAGGTGGCTGGTTTAGCCTCAGTAGCTGGTATAATTTTAGGAAAATAAATATGAACATTAGAAATCTAGCAATAATTCCCCAAGGATTATGGTGTTGTATTTGCATTTTCAGTTGGCTTTCTTAATCAATGATTACAGAATCGAAAAGAACTTAACATTAAGAGGGGATACTTGTTAGTTTAAGTTGCCTTCACAAGACTTACTGTTCGACAATAGTAAAAGTGAACTGAATCTATGATTAACTTAAATGGTTTCTCTGCTTTCATTTTGCTTTAATGAAACTCCAAAAACCCCCGGTTAACAGGTTCAACTCGAAACATTTGGTTTGCCATAATTTTGCAATTCACATTGCTATACATTCTAGTAATTGTATACGCTTCCAACTCGCATACAAATCATTTGCTAATAGTGCAACTTCATCGCCATTGCCAAGCCGTTGTTCGAATTTACGAAATTATTAATTAAGCCAAGGGCGGCTATCAATTACACGCTCTCGCTGGAATGAAACCATAACGCGAAATTCGGTGGCAACAACGAAACTGAATCGAAATGCCAGTACATATGCGGCCAAATGAAGTGAAAAAAAGAAGGGGGGAAGTTGCCCCATAAGGGTAGTTGAAATTTATTACAGTTGTACGAAACAAAGCGTAAAATTTTTGCTGCTTAATTGAAAAATATAAATTGTTGGCAAGCATATACATATACATACATACATACTATGTGGGTGTATGTGTGGGACCGGAAGTAAAGTCAAAAGCAGAACAACAACATTAATAACGCTGCCAAACGGAAATAATAAAACCCATTTTAACGATGACGCCAAAAATGAAATAAAGAAGCATTGTGCGAAATATACATAAAATGGCTCAATATTGTGTGGCAGTGCCAGTCATAACTGTAACTGTTAAATGGCCTTAATGTTCGCCGAACTTGCTCCTTCAAACCAATTACTTTTATATATCATAAACAAGGAAAGTAAAAGTTAACCTAACTTTTGTTTCTTAACGTATTATCAGGATTAGTTTTAAGTCAACAAAATAATTAAGAGCTTTTTGCTTAATCCTTAATCTTTAAAGGAGAACTTTTTACTTAAGTTGTTGAGTTAAAAAAGCCTATGAGTTCTTAAGCTCCATTACTGATTTTTGCTTTATTATCGGCTCTTAGGCAATTATTTCCATTACAGGCAACTCTTTTTCGTAGGATTTTTTCCCAACGAAAGTAAAAGTCCTACAAAACTTTCCTCTTGATCCTCAACTCATCATCACACATAACCCCTCCCCTCCTCCCATTCGCCGCTTCAGTTCAGTAATTTACAAGCGGAAAAACGACAATCAATGCGGGTCAATATTTGCCAGTTGTAAACAGAACACCAACACTAACAACAAGCGAAATAAAGGGAAAAAAATGTCAAGAATCAACATATACTCACGGCCAAAAGGCAAAAGAAACCGGCAAAAAGTCAAGTGCAAACAGCAGAAAAAAAAAATATATATCAGGAAAATCGAGCGACAGGGAGTCCAAGAAAATGCGACATGCAGGTAGCATAAATGGATACAAAAAAAGGAGGAAAACTGGCAGGAAAATACAAACACACCCATACAAGCACAATTATCACAGCGTCCGCCTGGGGATCCTTTGATGATGAGCTTCCTGCACATCAAAAGCCAAAAATAGAGCAACATGAACGAGCAGAAAAGGCCAAACGGGTCACAGGGCGAGGCGAGAGTTCGGGCGGTTTTCGGGGCTTCAAAAAAAGGATTCAAAATGGGTAAAAACGTAACGAACAAACAACGTGCCCCGATGTCAGCCACACAAATTCCATCTCTCTCTCTGCCAAGTGGGTGTACTCCTCGTATGTGCATAGTATGTGGGTTTGATTGAAGCTGGAGCCTTCTCTCCTCCGATAGACCCCCATCCAGACAGACCCCAGTGCATGGGGCATCCACAAAATCCCCAAAACATCACTCTCCTCTACCCCAAAAAGAAACAAGAAACAAACCAAACCCGAAACGTACATACATAGGTAGCCAGGTAAACACGCCTTGACTCCTGGTCAGATATTCTGATTTGTTTGAGTTTCTACTTTTCGAGCTTAACAAATTAAGCGCTCAATCTGTAGGCCACCACCAAGTGCAGACAGGGGAAGCCCCCTTGAAAAAATACGAAAATCAAGAAGAAACGTAAGGAAGCGTTTCCCAGGACAAAAAGGCAAAGTTATCAGGCGAACAAAGTAACTGCAAAAGGGCTAACAAGAGCAACAATACTAATCACTTCATCAAAACTACAGAGTATACAAAAGAATAACAAACTTTTGGGAAATCCAAAAATTAAATAAAATTATGAAGCGTTTTTAACAAGAAATAATTTAAACAGCAAAGTTTCAGGCACCTTAAGCTCTTATTATTGTTAAAAAAAAAAAAAAAGCTACGCCGGAAATCGCTGCATATTAGGTGACAGGAGCAGCGATTGAAGTCAACTCTTCGTTAGTTCTGTTTGTTATGGAGCCACCCTCAGCACCACCCTAGAACTCACTCCCACCCCCTTCAAAGCCACCCCCCCCTCTTGGGACTTGCGTGCGCCACCTGCGTGTGTTGTCGACGTTTTCCATTTGTTTGCATTTCCCTTGTAGTGTAAGTGTATGATGTGTGTGTGCCTGTGTGTGTTGGCTCCTCGTTAGTCCTGTCGCTCGGTTTTCCCCCATCCTGCCCACTCACTCTTTTTCGGTAGCTAGTTTTGATGAATTTATTCGCTAAACATGTTTATTATTTGCCAGCAAATCACACAGCAATTTGACAGTTTTAAAAGTTTACTTCTGCCAGTTGATGTGTGAAAATGGAGCAGCAGAAGAAGGGAGACGCAAGATACGAATTTTCCCCAAGGTTTTTCTCGGTCCTCTTTTTGCCCTGCTGATTAATGGTTACCCACAAGCTCTGGCAGCGAAAATTCGTTTGGTATTCAGTCCGCAGTTCTTTTGCTGCCAAATCAATATGCCATGGGTTTTCTTTGCCACCCCCCAAACTTTACACAGAGATTAAAATGGGGGTTAATTAAATATATAACTTGTAAATTCAAGCTTTGTTTTAAAGAGAATACTTTGTGTTTGCTTTATTAAAATACTAACAAGCAACATTAATTATATTTTTAATCTTACACTTTAATATTGCTTACTTTGGATTTCTTTAAAGAAATCTTTTCTAGTGTTGATTTTAGTTTCTTAAATTATATACAAATATTCCCAAATTAAATGTAATCAGAAGCCAACACACTCTACATGACTTGAATTAAAATTAACCATAAACAATTTCATTTCCTTATCCGCTCAGTGCTGAACTTAACCTGCCTCATAATATTTTAAGCTGCGTAATTAATTTAAAACCTTGTAATTAATAAATAACACCCGCGTGTAGCAAGACCCCTCCCTCCCTCCCCTCGAAAAACACAGATACAGATAAGCGGTAATCATTAACACTGCGGCCAGTTTGGAGGCTGTTAATGGATTTTACTGGCTTTGCCTGCGGCCTGTCGCTGCTTTGGTTGCTGCCGCTTTTCCCCGATTTTCCCGCTTCTGCTGCTCTCATTCGAGGGGGTGGGGGGAGGATGTTGCCGCGTTTGTGGCAACAATTGTGCGTGCTGCGTGCCGGGGCTTTAGGCTGTAACTAATTCAATTCGATCGGAATTTACAGGCTTAGTTGCATGGTTAAAGCACTTTTCAGTGAAACAATTTATTTTCACAGTTATGTATTTGTATACTCTTTCAGGGTATTATATTTTTCATCAGAAGTTTGCAATGCAGAATCCGAAGGGTATTTAGTATATAGTTGTATTACTATAAGGATTACAAGGCTTTTCTTATAAGAGTTTAGTTTGAAATAAACATATTATTTAGGTTGTAGTTTTATGTATCATTTTATTAAGCGTTCCAAAATTAGTCCTGGCTTCGACTGGCTTCAATTATTTTCCAAAAAAAGTAGACAGAGATGTAACATTACAAAAATCTATCTGAAAAACTAAGGATAAACGGCGATTATTAAATATTTATCTGATTAGAAGGCAGGATTTACTTACTTTAGCTCGGAAACAATCTCCAAGACGTATCCACGGCGATTCATGTTGGCAATGGCAATCCAGTGCAGCATCATTTCAGCGGCTAATCCAAAGATAATGCAGTAAATGATCAGGGCCATGATCAAGGACGTTGAGTCGTTGTATTGCTCTAAATATCCAATGGCAATCAGATGCATGCTAACATTCTTGAGAAATTTGAAACAGCAAATCAATATCCAGGGAGCCATGGGCAGGAAGTTGAAGAAACGACGTCTGGTTAGGCAGTTTGGCAGGCTCACCACTCTTGGCAACATGGTCAAGGCGGTGAGCAACAGGGCCTGGAACATAGTTAACCATATATTCGGGTAACTAAATGAAATATTGGAAACTAGGCGATAATTTAGCTTAAGTTTCATCAAGATATCAGGAGCAGCAGTGATTGTAGTCAGAACCGCAGCTCCATAAAGCAGCTCGAACACCAAATATCGACAATTTTCCATTCTTAAATTGTTGTATGGAATTTAAGAAATTTTTAATGAAATATTTATCAAACTCTGCTATGGATTGTGTGCCTGTCACTGATATTTTATCCTTTTTGAATGAAAGTAAACTCAAGGCTTGCTTGTTTGATTCCGAAATGTATAATTTTGATTTGTAGTTATTGTTTATTTTTATTGTTGTACGGATAAGTTAATATATATTCTCATTTGACTGAAATATATTAATTCTAATTATTAATGGCAAACTGCAAGGGTATGCCAGTTCGTGGTTTCAAGGTTTATAATTTTGTTTTACTTTTTGGGAAAAGTGTGGCCGTAACCTAAATATGTTACCAAGTGCACTTTTTATGCCTTGCTGCATTTCGTTTTTAGTTGAATTTTATCCTAATGAGGCTCTCGAAAGTAATTATTTTCGTTATTAAGGTCAAATGTACACATGAGCATTGCATTTATTATAAGCAGTTTATGCATTTATCAAAATGATTTATTTGTTTAACAATATATAAAGATTCAGTCTATAGTTTATCCTTTCTTATGCTGCCTAAATTTAGGAAAATTGTTTCCATTTTCAATCCAATTTATCTTTGAACTTAATTGAAATCATTGGCTTCATTGTTAAATAGTTTGGAACTTAATTTCGTTAGGCAAGCCTGTTCCCAAATTGGTTTTGCATGGCAACATCATTGATATGGCCAATTGCCACTTGTTCTATTAAATGGCTCACAGCACACACACACACACACTGACACGATGTCCTGGCACCCACACCATATCCTGCTGTTGATCATCAATCACGGCGGCACGCGAACCAGAAAACCCAGCCGGGCTGACATTGCACTTTTTTTTTCCTCCCAACGAATCCCTGGAGGGGAAACTCTTTTGGGTGTTGTGTGTGGATACAACTGGTACAACTATAATTGGCAATTCATGCAGGAAACAGGCCATTATGCCGCTGTTAACTTATTAGCCGGCCAGGGAAACTGGTCTCTTCTCTCTCAGGCTGCGTCACTGCATCCGGAGCTGTCACCTCCTCGAGTGGCCCTGGCCGGAAGTGTTCGTTGCTCTTTTATCGAATATAATTACCATGGCACACCTACGATGATTCCCCATCCCCCCTCAAAGTCTGCGAAACGCACTTCAATCCCATGTCCTTTGGATAGCCCGCGGCGGCCATTGTCTCGGTGGACGAGGTGTTCATCTGGATAAGGCACTGAGACAAGAAAATGTAACTAGAAAATAACCTTTATTAAATATTTGCTTATTAAAATTATGATACATTTTTATAGATAGGATTTATTTTATGCTTAAATCCATTTATTATATTTTTATCATATAAATATATAGTTATATTATTATTTTTCACTGTACCAATAAGCGGCTTAATTACAAATGCAGCAGCCGTGGACAGGGTCAGGAGCAAAAGCCGGAACAGGCACAGGTGAAGGCCCGAGGCAAAGGCATAAATACATGCACTTGGATTCGCATTAGAACACGTCATGTTTGTAGCCTGTTAATTACACTACCAGCCTGCTCAAGGCTACTGTTTTCCCACACTTCCGCCTTCTGCATAAGCACCCGTTCCCACTCCTAAATAACCCCCCTTTGGCATCTCTGTTTATGATGCCATTAAGCAGCTGCCGAAGCGGCTCTAAGCAAATGCAGAATTTGCAATGTGTGTTTGCTCGTGAACATAAAATTACAAAATCTTGGGCACAGAATTAACACGGCCAAAAATGCCGGGACATGTGCCGATTTCTGATGTGTTCAACGCCCTGGCTGGCAGTTCAAACACAATAAAAATTATGCGTGTCATAAATCCAACTGATGAGATTTGCATTTGCTTCCTTGCCTCTAAAACTCCCTTTTGGCAAAAGTCGTTATGCCATCAAACTTGAGGAGTGACAAGGGATGGGAGGGGGGATTTGTGATCCTGATGCTCCTGATGCTGACGCTGTTTGGGGGAATGGGTATGGGGACAGTGTTTGATATCCAGCGGGTGCCATAATAATTTTCGCCTAATAATGATGCGCGTTATGGCTTGACGACAACAGAGGAACCTTCCTTCCACCGCCATAACTTTGCATGTCTCTGTGCCACGACATTGCAGGGAAACAAATGACGCTATTCTGCGATGGTGTCTTCAAGGCACTTGGGGAAAATTTGGCTAAGAAACTGATTATTTAGAACCATTAAAATTAACAATATACAAATGATAAGATAAATAACGAAGGCTCTGTAATAGCAAAATATTAGATTTCTTTGTATTATTTCTTGACTTTTAAACTTTTGTATCAGAACTTACAGTTCTTTTTTCCCAGTGTCTGTGTGTGCAACAAAACTCAATCATAATCTGCGGCCAATGGCATTACTCCAGCTTGAAAGTACGACGTTGTCATGACAACTTTCCGCCAAGGCAACGAACGCATTGCAATAACTTTTCGTTTCCTTGGCTGGTGCTGCTTCTCCTGGTGGTGTAGGAGGTTCTTTTACAGCTTCTTCCCGGTCTGAATCTTCATCTGGCTTGTGCAGTTGATAATCAGTGGCATTGGCATCATAAACATATCAGCAGGAAGTAGATAAGACACTTGCCACACACTCCCACATCCAATACACTCCACCCGCACAGTGGCTTAGCTGGCCTCTTAATGGCAGTGCTTGTGTGTATGTGATTAGGTATCAAGAGCATAAAAAGAGGGAATTTCCTACAATGTTTACTCCACTCCAATTTCAATCGTAGGACTATAAATACATGCAAGATATGAGCTTCACTGAAATAAATCGTTTTGAAATCAAGATTACGCTAATCAAATCAATAAGAAAACAATATAAAAAGGGAAACTAATGTTTATGGCCTCTAAAAGAATGTCAGAAATGTAGATAAATAAAGGAAGTTAACAATTTTTAATAGAAAATATTGCCAACATTAGTTTGTTTAAAAGGAATCGTAACTTAAGTCAAATCTTAAGATAAACAAATCCCACTTTTTCGACAGTGTTATCCTGAAGTGTGTGTAGGATTCATCGGAGCATTTCGTTTCTGGCTAAGCATGGCAAATTAGGCTTCTGATTGGGTACCCAAAATGCAGCCATGAATAATTTATGTCTTTGCTTATGCCACTGTGTCCATTCGACAACACCGCAAAAAGTTGTGAGAGACAGAGGGACCAGCCCACCCAACACTCACTCTGCATAATTGCCTTTAAATGTCTGGCAATTTCAAGAAGCTAAAACATTCAAGTCTTTGTTTTGGCCACACACACACACAGACAGACACCGATGCATACCGGCACACACACTGTTGGACTTTGTGCATTTCCCGTTCAGAGCATGTTGACAAGAAATTGCATAATTATGGCTTGCCCGGACAAGCGGTCAGATCAACTCGACCGCAAGTGCTGTCTTTACACGACAAGGACAAAAGGGAGAAAAGCTGCCGGTCCAAATTAGGGGAAAATCTAAGGGGGGCGGAAAGCTGGAGGAAAAGCTGGAGGGATATGCAACTAACTGTAGCTGTGGCTTAGCTCCCAGCTAGGAGGAACTCTGGGCCAACGAAGTTTTTGGCCGCAGGCAGTAGCTGTGAGGAGCAGCAGCAGCATCAGTCCACCGCAGATGCGGACCTCTGGCTATAACTGGAGTACAGGTGATCACAAAGAGATGCTAACTTGGTCAAGCAGATGTTGTTATACTCTTGCAGAATGCAGGAAATTTAGTTGAATTTCATTAAATAGCAGATTAATTAATCCACGAACCTTTTGCTTATATTGTATATGTTCTTCATCTTGTTACTTCTCTGAATTGATTTTCCTGGAATGCTTTTGTTACCAGCTTCAAAATCATGAAACCCCTTGCTAGGGTGCAAAAAGGACGCGGCCAGGTCCTGTGCATATGCATAAGCGGGAAAGCAACGCCTAAGCGGAATCCTGGGACAGCAACTGGCACAATTGAATTGCATAACATGAATGGAAATGAATCGGGAGGCTTGGAAACCGAGAGCTGCTCTTGCGGCTGCCCAAATGGAACTATAGTTCCACGTAAGAATTTGCATATACCAAGGATATGCGGTGGAAAGAAAAGAGGTTGCCAAAAAAAAGTGTCAATGGGTTTTTTGTTGAAGAATTTTTTGTTGAATAAAACTGCAGTATAATCATTTTTTCAAGAAAACGTATATAAACATACCAGAAATCTTTAAAATGTATTGCCTTTAAAAAAATGATAATAAAACATTTTCAACAATATTTTTAATATTTTGAAAAAGTATTTTCGAGAATTTCAAAAACTTAATTATTTCTAAAAGCAAAAAACACCCTATGGCTTTTAAAACATCCATTTAAAGCGCGTTTTTACTGGAAAAAAAGAGATTTTAAAGAGGAAAATTCCTGGGGCAAACCCATAGCAATTTTCACACTCGATTAGCTGCATTTGTGCACGTGCCAAACCGAACTCAAATAATACACAACAACAGCGCTCGCTGCTGGAAAATAAAACAATATATATATATATCTGGTAGAGAAATCCACAGAGGGAAAATTACAATAAGCGTTTAGATTTTCATTAAAAACCAAAAGGGAAAACCAGTATTGAGCATGTGTGCGTTCCAAGAAAACGTTGCCTACTTTGCAGCGCACACAGCGAAATGGAAAGTTAAGCACTTGAGACGGCGACAAAGAAGGGGTGCTTCTCGGAGGGGTGAATCCCCGGCACCCCTTTCTTTTCTCTGCTAAATCCCCTTCCGTTAGTCCTTTGTTTGGGTCCGCTTTATTCCCTCTTTTTCGTTTTTTTTTCTCCTTTTGCTTTTGCTTTTGCACTGAGCTGCACACAATAATGAAAATGTTGTTGTTTGTTAAATTCCAACAGCCGTTGCTAGAACACACTTGAGCGCCCACACACACACAGACACACGCACACTACGCCAAGCTACATACACTCATATATATGCACGGCTACATTGCATTACTTCCGCCTCAATGGTAATAATTTTAAAATCAATACAATTCAATAAAGTTTTATTACTGACGCTGACAAGGGTGGCGGATTTTTCACAGAATCCGCCACTGAGTGTGGCTGCGTGTGTGTGTGTGTGTGGTGCTTTCATGGGTTA